TCTTATGACATAATGACATTTTTTATAATTTACTCTTAGTTTTGTTTAGAGAGATTTTAAGTTATTAAATGAGAGATTTGTTTTATTTTTATATAACATTTTATAACATGTTTTATAAATCATTTTACCTAGAATAAATTTATTTTTTATATTTTTACATAATATGTATTATTAAATATTTATTTATTTGAATGTGTTTTTTCTAAATTTATAGTAATATTTATAATAAATAAATTTTATCAAAATCTAGTGATTTTTTTGAACGATCTGGTGATTTTTAACCGGACCATCTGGTGATTTCGTTTTTTTTGACCTGGCAACCCTAATTTTATATTACATTTATGTATAAAATATAAATGCATACACACATTTATTTATTTTTTAATTATTTTGAATATACATTTAAATGTCATTAAAAAAATCATAATTTGGTTAAAAAAAAAAGAAACGGGCTGATTTGCGATTTTGGTTTTTTTGATATTTTGACTTCTAATTACAAAATAAAACATACCACGCAAGGAAATTTAGAGTTGCTTTCAACTTGCATTTAAATTACTGAAGCCCTACCGTGTAGGTGATAAAAAAATTGTTTAAAACGAATTTGTAGAACATTAAAAGATATTCAAAATTGCTAATTGACTTTGATTAGTAATTTAGCTGCTAAATGTAAAAATATCAATTTTTTTACAATTTATAAGTTTCAACGTTAATAAAAAGGAAACAGTTGAATCTACAGACTGGACTAAGATTTTTTGGGAAAACTTTAAATTCAATGATGTACCTTTTAAAATTAATATTAAGAGCTCAAATTTTGACAGATTTTTTTTTAGCATAAGTGACGAGAATTTTACATGAATTTGAAAAAATAAAAATATTGCCTTATTTTGAAACACCCTAATATATATATATATATATACATATATATGTATATATATATATATATACAGGGTGTCTCAAAAGTCAAGGACAGCAGAAAAGGGGTAAATAGAGAATGGGATTCTAAGTCGAATGGAACTTGCCGTTTTTCGATCAGACGCACCATTAATTAGTTATTAATAAAATAAAGTAGCCAATCACAGGCGTGTTTTAGCAGACTGATTAGAGGTGGGACAACACAAACTTTTGTAAAAATTCCATAGCTATGAACATGTCATATGTGAAATGACCTTAAATTAATTTATTTACTGTCACTGTCAGTGTTTTGGTTTTTTAGGTTCAGTAGAAATGTTTATTTTTTTGTGTGGGACAAATAGGTACCTACCTATCTTTTTGTTATTTTTTTTAACTTGCGAATTATTAATTAAATAAGTAAATACAAGGTTGATGGTGATATACTTTACTTTACTATAACTTTTTATTAAGTAAAAATAATTACTTTATTAATAATTAATTTTTACATTATTATTTAATTAGAGATATTTTTATCCCTGAGGAATATGACACACATTGTAATGTCATTTTTGTTAAAAAAACTTTAACAACTTTTTGAAATGCCTCGCGCTTATACTGTTGCCGAACGTGCAGACATGGTCCGTATTTATTACGAATATGCTCACAATGCTGCGGAAGCTGCACGCCAGTATCGAATACAATTTGAAGGTGTGCGTGTTCGGTTTCCGAATCATGCTTTAATTCTCCGAGCGGTTCAGGATTTTAATATGAATGGCAACGTTTTACCGGGTGCTGCTGAACGCGTTGGCCGACCACGAACAGCTCGCAGCCTTCATAATGAAGAACGCGTTCTTGAGGCCATTGCAGCTGATCCTGGAACTAGCACTCGCCAACTTGAACGTGGATTGGAGATCTTCCGCAGCACAGTTAACCGCATAACTAAGGACAACGCACTACATCCTTACCACGCTACCAAGGTACAACATCTGGAACTTGGAGATTACGAGATGAGAAGACAGTTTTGTAATCAAATTCTCAATATGCACCGTGAAGACCCTAACTTTCTGAGGCATGTATTGTGGACTGACGAATCACCCTTCACTCGTGAGGGGTGTTTTAATCCCCATAATGTGCATCAGTATGCGATTGAAAACCCACATTTTGAAAGGGTGCAAAGTTTCCAGCACAGGTGGAAAATTAATATGTGGGGCGGTATTATCGGAGATACCGTTATTTTATATCAATTACCAGAAACGCTAAACGTAAGTTAAAAAAATGATCAATTTATATTTTCATGAGTTGATCATACAATTTTTTGATTATTTATTAGGGAAACTCGTACTTGGCATTTTTGCAAGAGGTTCTTCCAGGGTTGCTCGAAGAAGTTGGAGAGCGTCCTCAGTACTTCCAGCATGATGGTGCACCGGCTCATTACTTCAGTCGTGTCCGGGATCACCTAAATGCTGAGTACCCACGACGCTGGTTTGGGAGAAACGGCCCGTTTCGTTGGCCCCCAAGATCACCGGACTTAACACCTCTGGATTTTTTCTTGTGGGGATACATAAAGGACGTCGTTTACAAAACCGTGCCCGAGGATCAGCTTGATACTCTGGAGCGGATTCGATTATCGCAAGCAGACATAACACCAGAAATGCTGGAGAACGTCAGAACGAATATCATTAAACGTTGTGAAATGTGCTTGCAGAGAAATGGAGGAACCTTTGAGCATCTCATGAGATAAAGGACCGAAGACTATTTAAAAAACGGCCCTTCTTAGGGCCACCAAGTTTCCCTAAAAAAAAAGAATGCCTTTAGTTACCCAGAGAGCCATACCCACATAACACAAAAATATATTGAAAATATTGAATGAATATTTTTGCTAAATGAACTAAATATGGAAGAAATATTAGTCATTATTATTTAAATGCTAAAAATACAAGAAAATTTAGTACACGTCTTAATAAAAAATATATTTATAAAAAAATTTATTTTAGAAATAATCGATATAAATAAAAGTAAAATATTTAAACACAAAAATTATTTGAAAAAAAAGTTTATTTAAGAAATAATCGATATAAATAAAAGTAAAATATGTATACAAAAATTAATTGAAAAAAATCACGGAAATAAAAGAATTTTTTTTTCCCTACAGTCTTGGGTTTTCTGCTAATCATCATTATCTCTTACTTACTTTGTTTTCTATTATGAATTGCTGCCTAAAGATTCTCTGTTGAAATTCTACTTTTGAAATTCATTGAACAATCATATTTTACCTTCTTGCTTAGCATCAAGTTCATCCAGCATATGAAGTACTAAAATTCAGATGTATTACAGTGAATGGCTTGCACGATTTTTGTTTTAGATACCCCAACACCTGCACGTCCAGTGCGCGTTATTTTAGAACACACTTCATCTGAAGGCTGCATAGAAATAATACTAGTATTATTTCTATGGAAGGCTGCTTTAACAATTAAATTCAACCTGCCTACGACGTCCTCGTCAGCGACAAATTTAAAGTAGCTAACATATAACATAACAATAAAAAACATTCATGTTAATGAGTAAAAGTAAAGTAAAACCTTGGTTCTCTGGGTAAAACTAACCTAAAATCTAAAACACTGACAGTGACAGTGACAATGTCAACCATATAATTAAGGTAATTATACACAACGATTTTATACAGAATTTCTAAGATTACGCTGCACATTATAGTCCTCCCACCTCTAATCAGTCTGCTAAAACACGCCTGTGATTGGCTACTTTATTTTATTAATAACTAATTAATTGTGCGTCTGATCGAAAAACGGCAAATTCCATTCGACTTAGAATCCCATTCTCTATTTACCCCTTTTCTGCTGTCCTTGACTTTTGAGACACCCTGTATACTAAAGTTTATATACAAAAGTGCTCTTTCAGTTCGACCCTTACTTCCTAAAAAGTCTCAGAAGCCAACGGAATGGCTTGATCGGGTGAGGGGTAGGAACGGACCGCGGGCTTAAAGTCCCCTCCGAAGGACTATTACACAATAGGACAAACACAAATAAACAGCCATACCCCTGGTGGGATTCGAACCCACGACCTCCGGCTTGTAGTCAGCAGCACTAACCACTAGTCCACCGTCGGCGATATATATATATTTATTGAAGGTTTTCCGGGATCTGATCCGTGTTGTCGGTTTTTGGTTCTTAAAAGAACCGTATGTCTGATGACGTTTCGGTACAATCTCATGTACCATCTTCAGGTCTTATCTGCTGGACTGCAGTTGCTGCACTGCTGTGAGTTAGACGTGGAGTGAGCTCCGTTGCCGCTGTCGTGTTTTCGTTGTTTATATACCCTCTTAGCTTTCCAATAACTGATTGTTATAAAAGCCCATAAACGGAAAATTTGAAATTGAGATTTTTAGGAAATCGGCAGCCTCCCGATGTGCCACCCAAAAAGATTAGGGACTTTGCAGATTTGTATGCATAACATAAATAAATATTCTTATTTTAAATTTATTTTTAAAATTGCTCCACTTTATTCTTATTTTAAATTTATTTACAAAAATGCGTTATTTTTTAGTGGAAGAATCTTCTTTTAAAATCAATTTAACACCATTAGTTGAGTTTTGCAGACCAAAACCAATTGATTGTGCAAGGTTCGGCCTAAACGTTAAAACTTTTCATCTAAGCTTTATTAATTTTTAGGAGAAACGCATTTAAATTATTTAATAATTATATAAATTTATTAAAATATAGGTATTCCATCAGGGACGTAGCTACCGCCGTTTTAGCCGTATCGATGATATGGGCCACATTAAAATTATATTAGAATTTTAATGTGTTCATGTTTAATAATATTGAAAAAAAATAAAAGCAGTACATTTAAATTTTTCACTTAGCTAAAGTAAAATGCATCCATAATAATCGATGCTTAATGGATTCATTAAATTAAATAAAATCTTGTATGCACCACTGGCGTTACTAGATGATTACGCCCATCTGCGACATCCATCCATCAAGCCATAGGCCCTCGAGCTGGGTGTCGCTCTTCGGGAAAAATCATCTTAATAACACCCTTGGTGCCTAAATAGCTATTATAATAACAGTGGAATATTTTTTACATTACAGCTTCCTGTGCTGGTTACTGCGTTGCCACTTATGTACTAGGAATTTGTGATAGACACAATGACAATATTATGTTAAAGACATCTGGTCATTTATTTCATATCGATTTTGGAAAATTTTTAGGTGATACACAAATGTTTGGTAATTTTAAAAGGTATTCAACATACATTTTATTGCATTCATATTTATTTGTTATTTTTTTAGGGATAGAGTACCTTTTGTCTTAACTTCTGATATGGCATACGTAATTAATGGTGGAGATAAACCGACTGAAAAATTTCATAAATTTGTGGATTTATGTTGTCAAGCTTTTAATATTATTAGAAATAATGCAAATATATTTTTATGTATTTTTACCATGGTAATAATCTAATACTTGTTAATCAAAAGTTCTGATTGGTATTACGAATTTTAAAAAATATTTATTTTAAGATGGCATCATCTGGTATTTCTGGAGTAACAGCTAATTCCGTATCATATTTAAAAGAAGCATTGTTATTGGAAGTTTCTAATCCAGAAGCCGCTGCGACATTTGCACGAATGATACAAAGCTCTTTAAAATCTTGGTTTACACAAGTAAATTTTTTTTTACACAATATTGCCCAATTAAAATTTACTTTTGATAATAATGAAGGGTCTTTATTAACTTTTGTTTCAAAAGTTTATAGGTAAGCTATTTTCTTAATTTAAAACTATTTAGGTGGGTAAATTATTTTGCCAAAAATTAGTTTAATTTAGAAACAAATTTGTTTATTTTTTAATAAATAAGTATTTACTTTAAAGTTAATGTTGGGGTGTCAAGGGGTTAATTTTATTACCTCCTAATAGTAAAAAGTCGTTGGATACCTACTTATCCAGTGATCTTTTATTAAATCAGTTTCTTACACGTTGTAACACCATACTAAAATGTTTAAAAGGTTTTTTAATTTCTGAGATTTTCAATTTTCCAGGGTGATTTATTAGTATTGCAAAAAAATTATAATAAGATTCCCTGAATGAAAACAAGAAAAAAACTTTTTGTTTCCGAGATAAAAACTCGGTGTGTTCGTTTATAAAAATAATGGTCAGCTTTTAATATAATTAGATTTAATTTATTTATTTCAGTGGCGTACCGGGGGCATCTCGGGTCGAGATTCTTGGCTGAAATTTTTAGAAAAAAAAATGACATTCCACTGCTTTTCGTTTGTTTAATATAGGGTGAATTTTTGGATATTTAATATGTAATATATAATATATATATATATATATATATATATATATATATATATATATATATATATATATTATATATAGGGTGTCTCATAATATATAATATACATATACAGTGCTTGCAAATCCAAGTCCGACCGCACTGGAAAGGACGGCTGTTCAATACCCGCGTGAAAAAAACAAGGATAGAACGCCAAATAGAATTTGATTGGCCAGAGCCGGCAGGCTACGACAACGCATACCCATCGCGCACCTCGCAGCGTGCTTAACACGAGGATATCAGAACGAGAACTGCAGTGGTGCCAGCAAGAGGTAGTAATTTTAGTAAAAAAGATTATTTAATTAAAAAATGTACACGTTGGAACAAAAAGTTCAGATTTTAATCTGGCATTTTGCTGGTAATTCTGAACGAGAAATTCAAAGATTATTTGCGGGAATGTTCGAGGCCAGACCAAACAGAGAAACAATTCGACGAACCGTTAATAATTTTCTCACGCACGGTTGTGTAGTTCCGATGCAGCTCCGACGGGAATTTTTATAATAGGTTAGGTTATTGTTTGGCTGCCTATGGGGGCTTGTTCGAACATTTAATTTAATTTTTGAGTTTATTTATTTTTATTATTTATTTTTAGAGTTTTATTTTTATTTATAGTTATTTTTATTCAGAATTATTATTTATTTGAGAAATCTTTTTTATTAAGAATACTATTTTTGTTGTTGCCCTAGTTCTCAAGGAAAAAAATCAAAAAATTTTATTTTTAGGATTCGGGTATAAAATATTTAAAAAGAAAATTAAAATGTGCATCTACACTCTAACGCAGTTTGCTTAACACTAAATCACATAGTCTAAATGCAGCCAGACTGGCTGCCAGAGTTGACCTCGCTTACAATTCGCACGCATCCGGGGCTCTGGCCAATCAAATTCTATTTGACGTTCTATCCTTGTTCTTTTCACGCGGGTATTGAACAGCCGTCCTTTCCAGTGCGGTCGGACTTGGATTTGCAAGCACTGTATATATATATATGTCGGGGTTGCATCCCCTTGTTCTCCAAGGTCTGCCATACTTAATAATTGTTTATAGTATCCACACAATGTTTATTTATTAACGTTTATATTGTTTATTTTATCACACACATACAAAACTAACTATACTCAACTAAGTATTAACATAAACTAATTATTAAGCACTAAACTAATGTCTATTTTGGTAACTCGTAGAATGGAGGTGATCCCACTGGTCGTGCCAAGTCAGACACCCAAAACTGAATGCCTGTCCCTCTTTCTATTACGATGCAAAAGCCATCATTGCTTGCTCATCATTTCGCATTCGGTACTTCCCCGAAATACCTGGCACCGCCCTTGATTCCACCCAAGCTTGTTTAGGCAACCAACTTGTCACTCAACGAGTTCCCTAACACGGCCATTCTGACAAGTCACACGTCCTCGTGTGACTCGGCTACAAACAAAACTATAGAAGTAAATCGCTCGGTCATTCTGACATTATTTAACTTGCTTGTTTGTAATCATAAAACAATTACATTTACACAATTAACGTTAAGGTCAATTACTTAACCAACGATCAAAATAAATTGTAATCGCTTAACCAACGATCAAGAAATAAATTGACATCGCTTAACCAACGATCAAAAAATAAATTGACATCGCTTAACCAACGATCAAAAAATAAATTGTCATCGCTTAACCAACGATCAAAAATAAATTGTCATCGCTTAACCAGCGATTAAGAAATAAATTGTCATCGCTTAACCAGCGATTAAAAAATAAATTGTCATCGCTTAACCAGCAAACAAGAAATAAATTGTCATCGCTTAACCAGCGATCAAAAAATAAATTGTCATCGCTTAACCAGCGATCAAGAAATAAATTGACATCGCTTAACCAGCGATTAAAAAATAAATTGTTATCGCTTAACCAGCGATCAAGAAATAAATTGTCATCGCTTAACCAGCGATCAAAAATTGAATAACCATCGCTTAGCCAGCGATTACACAGATCAATTTTCATCGCTTAACCAGCGATCAAGAAATAAATTGTCATCGCTTAACCAGCGATCAAGAAATAAATTGTCATCGCTTAACCAGCGATCAAAAATTGAATAACCATCGCTTAGCCAGCGATTACACAGATCAATTTTCATCGCTTAACCAGCGATCAAGAAATAAATTGACATCGCTTAACCAGCGATTAAAAAATAAATTGTTATCGCTTAACCAGCGATCAAGAAATAAATTGTCATCGCTTAACCAGCGATCAAAAATTGAATAACCATCGCTTAGCCAGCGATTACACAGATCAATTTTCATCGCTTAACCAGCGATCAAGAAATAAATTGTCATCGCTTAACCAGCGATCAAGAAATAAATTGTCATCGCTTAACCAGCGATCAAAAATTGAATAACCATCGCTTAGCCAGCGATTACACAGATCAATTTTCATCGCTTAACCAGCGATCAAGAAATAAATTGTCATCGCTTAACCAGCGATCAAGAAATAAATTGTTCAATAACTGAGACTTATACCTAATGGTGAAATATCTGTAATTACATTTTCAAAATAGCTTTTATTAAATTCATATTTATCGCATATGTTGACTATATTAATTTTATTTTATTTCACGTCATGTAAACAGCTATATTTTGGTTTAAAATTTCGCGGCCCACTAAAATCTCGTGTCGTAAGCAATGGTCAGGCAACACATGAAATAATATTTCAAAGCAAATGTTATCGATCTCAAATAACTTAATATTTCTTGACTACTGTGTACACTGGTTTGTCCTATACCAGTCTTAACAACAACATTATTATAACGCGTCCCGCTAAACTTAAAAGATACTGATTCTTTAATAAGTGAACACTCGGCGCCCGAGTCATAATAAAATGAAAAACTCTCACCGTGATGACGTAGAGAACCAGATGGTGTGTTTATTAAACAAACATCCACACGACGCTCTGCCGACGGACCTGCTCTGCTGCTACCTGCGTCGTTATTGGCTTCCGATTTCTTTGGGAACGAACAACGGGAAGCGTAGTGGCCAGACTTGTTACACTTGAAGCATGTAACCATTTTATTCGTATTAGATGTGGCACTTGGTAATGGCATTCCTCCATGTTGCGTTTTAAAATTGCTTATTTTACTTGAACGGCACTCTGTTGACTTGTGTCCTATTTTTCCACAATTAAAACAATTTATATGCGATGCAATATTTGGTTTAAATTGTTTTGCGTCGGATACATCTCGCTCATTAACTGGAAGTTTTCTTTTCGAGAAAGAAAATGCTGCTAACTCTTGCTGCAAATTTTGTCTTGTTTTTATTTCTGTGGTAAATGCAAGGTGTTGAACTTTATTTTCGAATTGAGAAATTTGGGCTAGAACAGTGGCAACTGCGATTTCTTCGATATTTAAATTTTTCCATCTTGACATTAATAATGAGACTTGGCTGGCTGCAAATGCTGCGACGCATTCTTCCTCTTTCGGCTTATTATTATTAGTATTTATTAAAAATGCAGCTGGAGTTTCTGCGTTATTATATCTGGCATCAAAGATTTCTTTGAAGTCCTGCCATGTCATTCCTGGGTAAGAAATCTGAGATAACCAACTAGCTGCTTGACCTTTTAATGCTTTGCTCAGCGAAATCATTAATCGAGCGCCAGTTAGCGGTTGATCGGTTATACACATATCAGCTGTAGCTAACCAAGAACGCGAGTCAGCATTTTTGTTATGTGGGTCGAATTCAGGCAAATGAATTTTATTATCGACTGCTGGTGATTTTAATGTTTGCAACAAAGCCGAAAAATTTTTATTTTGTTGTTCAAATAAATACCTCCATTTATCTGCTTCAGTTTCTGCCGTTTGGGCCTGAGCACATCCCACTTCTGATGTCGGGGTTGCATCCCCTTGTTCTCCAAGGTCTGCCATACTTAATAATTGTTTATAGTATCCACACAATGTTTATTTATTAACGTTTATATTGTTTATTTTATCACACACATACAAAACTAACTATACTCAACTAAGTATTAACATAAACTAATTATTAAGCACTAAACTAATGTCTATTTTGGTAACTCGTAGAATGGAGGTGATCCCACTGGTCGTGCCAAGTCAGACACCCAAAACTGAATGCCTGTCCCTCTTTCTATTACGATGCAAAAGCCATCATTGCTTGCTCATCATTTCGCATTCGGTACTTCCCCGAAATACCTGGCACCGCCCTTGATTCCACCCAAGCTTGTTTAGGCAACCAACTTGTCACTCAACGAGTTCCCTAACATATATATACAGGGTGTTTCATAATATATGCGCAGGACTTCAGGATGTGATAGCTCATCCAAAAAGATGAAAAAAGTCGCTATTAACTTACGCTCTAAAATGCACAATTTTCGAGATACAGGGTGTTGAAATTTTAGAAAAAAATACGTTTTTTTCGAATATCTCCG